ATGGTATCAGGAAATGGCTGCTGACATGTCTCAGTTGATGATTGTCTGGAGGATTTCTGGATTGTCAACATCATTGGGACGTCCTTAGAAGTTGTAAACTACCTGACTAATGCTTGATTGGTGCTAAACTGAAGTTTGACAGATTTTGGTAGGTGAGAGTATATCTATAGCTTTAGCAGTATTTTGCAGCTCAGTTTTTGCTTATCTTATTTTGAATTGTAACAGACCAAAGAAAAACGGAAAAAAAAAGGAAGACAGACTTCGTGTGGTAACTTGACCACAGTCTGTCGTTGTCAGTGCTTGTTAAAGATTTAGAACAGGAGTTAACTAAGCAAAACAAAAAGAAAGAAAAAGTGGAAGAACAGGAGGAAAAAAAGGAGGAACGGCGAACGTATGAGGAGAATTTATAGCGGAAACGAAAAAAGCGAAGGGTAAATGCGGATTCTGTTAAAAGGTTATTGGCTTAATGTTGGGTTTTTTGTCTCTTCAGAAGTGAGTGACAGAAGATTTACATTTATGTACTTTGGAAGTTTCTATTTTCTTTCATCTTTTATTCCATTTATCTGCTGCTTTTGGTTGTTGTTTTCCTTTTCATCGTTTCGCTTCTGGTAATGTGGTTAAAAGTTTTGTTTCTCAAATGCTTTTTTGTTTGTGCAGTTTTTTTGTTTACTGATACGGGTTGCTTTTTTGTGGCTTTTGTGTTGTATTAATTTTCTTCTCGTCTAAAGACTGATTTGAAAACGCATCAGTAAATATAAAAGTAGAATATTTTTATTTTAAAGGTATTTTTTGAGACGAAATAAAAGCGTATTGTTATAAATTCGATTGGATGAAGCCATAGTACGTTTGTTTGAACGATATGCTGAGACAGATTTTAATTGAACTTTTTTTGACATTTTTCCTTCAACTCCTTAGTGTTGTTGCTGCTGGAAAGCAAAAGAATTTTGCGGTGCTACTTTCTGAACTGTCAAGAGTGGATCCAAGACTGGAAAAATATTTTTGGAGTAGAAAAATCAGAAACTGAGATTGAAGAATAAAATATTTTTTCTTTCTAATCATCACAAAAAAAAAAATACTAGATTCTAAAGTTGCTTTTTTTTTTCAAGTTGTTAAGAGAGAAAAGAATAAAAAAAAAGAAGGGCCACAAAAAATGCATTTCTTTCATAATTAGCTAAAATTAAACAAAACTAATTAAATTTTTGTTCGAAATATGGTAAGTTAGCAAGATTGTTATGTTCAGGTTTCTTTTCTTCACATCTTTTTTTTGTTTTTTTTTTTTATTTTTTTTTTTGCAATGGTAAAATTCAGAAGAAAAGAGGAAGAGATATATATAAGTTTATAAATTAAGTGAGCATCACTATCACCATCTTTGATAGTCGTCGTCTACAACACTGTAGCTTCCTTGCTGGCAGCAAAAATAAATGCAAGAACAGACCAGAAGAATAAGAAACACTGGTATTCTAAATGAAAAAAACTGCTTTACAATTATGGCAAACATTGAAAAACTATGTTTGCAGCTTTTTACATCAGTTTAAAAAAGCTGCAAAGCTTTTCCTAAATTTTTACTTGAAGTATGGGGCTATAGGTCAATGTTATAACGAGTAGGAATGAAGACATCAAGAAAATTAGCGAATTTTTGTTGCAACTGTTGTCCTTGGTATCCCATTGTGAAGCCTTTAAATAATAAATTTTACGCCCTATTGTCTCAGTAATTTCTCTACTTTTATCAGAATTTAATGCTTCTAGCTTAATACTTTTTGAACAATACCACTGATGATGAAAACCAAGTTAATGTTAATGTAATTAGGATATGCATTAACTTAATTATGGCTTTATTTAAACCAGCAAATATATCAATTTCAATTAGACTATGCCTACGTTTACTTCTGTGTTTTTTGCTTCAAATTAGTAATAAACTAGATGACGAAAAAAAAAGGGAAAAGAAGCACAGCTAACTGACTAAACTGAATACCACTATTATTGTCATTACTGCTTAATACCGTTGCTATATTCGTACAAGGTACATTATCTGCATTATAAAAATTCGTTTTAAAACTCTTAAATTAAACGTCAAATTTTTTTTTTGTTTCTGAAACAGAATAAATATATACATTTACCTACCTAAAAATGAAGAGGAAAGCTCTTACTTTTAAACCAGTTTTAAAACTGCAACATTCTTCTCTAGTTTTCTAGTATCGCAAACAGTCATGGAATAAAAAAGAAATGTATACTATTGAATAAAGACAAAAAACAGATAAAAAATGAAAGGAAACCAACATTTCTTTAATTGCTTAAATTTCTCTCTTTTCTAATTAAATACTTTCCTCCTTCTCTAACTTCACTTCCAGCTAGCCTTTTCTTTCAATTAGCCTTTTCCCATTATTTTCTAATTGTTTATGAAAAAGTTTTTTCTACTACGAAAGAAAAAATTTATTTGAACAAGTGCTGGTAGGTTTTTTATCATGTTTGCCATTTTTTTACTTAGTTATATATTTCAAATCTGCCAACAGATTACTGGTAAAATCGCTATGAACAACTGTTGTTGCAATTTTGCCTATTTCGAAATTAGAAGGACGAACAATTAGAAGATGAAGGATAAAGAGAGTAAAAGAAAGACGAAAAGAGAAGGGAGAAACACCGAAGAGTAAAATGGTAGGGCTGTATGAAGGGAACTGGGGACGGGGGAAGCTGTTGTTTAGGAGAAGGAAAAAAGAAAGAGAAAGGAGAGAATGACAGCCAAAAGCGTAAGAAAAATTGACACTTTTTTATACGTTGTTGCCGTTTTTGTTTTTGTTTCGTACTGTTTGTTAAGGTTTAGATTTTTTGCAGAAAAAGGTTTTTTAGTTCTCCCCGTGGGAACATCAGAGGAAAAATTTTATAGCAGAGAATACGCACGACTGCTTTGGGAGGTAAGAAGGCAGGGAAGGAAAGACGGGAAAATGCAATAAAAGTGCGGACTTGATTTTTGCAGTCGTGAAACAGCTTGTCTTGAATAAAACATATTATAAAAGTGTTATAATAGGAAACATGGCCAAGGTTTTACAGTGCTTGAATATCACAGCTTGTTACGGGTTCCATGTCGAAGACTGAACAGTCTAACTTAGTAAGCTGCATCAGCACTTTGTACTTCGAGTATTTCTGCAGTTTCGCTTATCCTCTTACAGATTTCATTTATAATTTTATAGATATATTATCGTTCATTTTAAAAATTAGGAATTTTGAAATTTACTGCTGCGGTTTCTCTATTTCCTCTTTTATGTTACTGCTTCTGCTAAACAGTTTTCGAAAATCTCCAATTTGCTGTAATATGAAGGTTACATACTTCTTTGCTGACAAGCAACATTATTGCTCAATATAAGTCGGTGAGTATGATTGGTCTATCTGTCTTAAATCACACAAACTAAAGTCGAGAAAGGAACCAAAAACTGCAAAAGTCCAATAAAGTCGAACAATCACATGACAAATTTTTCTATTCTTCTTTTTATAGCCCATAGTGTAGGCAGTGATGAAATTAGAGTAAGAAATGAAAACCACGGTCAAAGAAACTCAAAATGGTCTGCTTTTGGTCTGAACTAAAAAAAGAAGTAAAACTAATGTGAGAAAGGATTAGCAGGATAAGTAATACGCATGTTATTTTTTTTATCAGCAAACGAGGTAGGAAGGGGCAAAAACGATGACTTTTTGCCTGATATTTTGAGCTCGTAGTTGACTGCAGCACAGTATGTTTTATGCTTTGCTCAGCTACTAAACATAACCAAGATTTCTTTTATGTCTTTTTACTTTGTTTTTAATTTATTTTCTTCTGTCTTGTGGAATTAGCAATCGGAAAGGGCAAGGCAAGAAGGAGGAGAAAGAGTTGAAGGTGAAAGGCGTAGAATATGAGAAACAAATACCTGTCTTTTAAAAATAGAAAATTAAGAAATATTCTCCTTATTATTATTCTATATGAAAAACGTGTTTTTTTTTAGGAAAACAGGGAAAATTTAAAATGAAAAACAACTTTTTCTTGAGTTTTTTCTCTTCACTCTTGTTTTAACTTCTTTGTTTACTCTGCTTAGAACTTTTAATCTTATTCTGTGGAAATAACAAAGTTTACGCTAAAAACAAATGAATGAAATTGATCAACGTTAAAGTTGAAAAAAAAGTGAGAGCCTTTTGAGTATCTCCTGTCAGCCAAAAAAAAA